TGTTCAAACATAAAATGCGACCGACCGAAGTTGTGTTCTCAGTTCCCTGGACCATCACTGGAGGGTAGTCGAAGTGCCCCAGATGTGCAGACAGCAACTGTCTCCAGAGGTCCCTGTGAGTTAGCTCTGTTTTGCTCATTTCTGACACCAGTGAAGCAACTCTCATACACAGGGATGCTGGGGACCAAAAGAGATAAGATACAGGAACGTGCTCCTTCCATGGGAGCCCAGTGCTGCCCATGGTGGTTATCACAGGAGCAGCAGTAACAGGTAGTGACTCTGCTTTGACCTGAGAGGGTCGCTTGCCCAACAAACTCCCTGCGTGATGGTGATGTAGAATGGTGGACCCAGCAGGCAGGCTGAGCCTCGGGGTGCTTTCAGTAACCCCGTCTCCATCTCCACGCTGGGTGGGGCCTGCTCCCCTAGGAGACATCCTAGAAAGCACCTCAGCCACCTGACACCACCAGCCAGGAGGCCTTTCTTTCTATGGGAATCGTAGCTCTCATAGCTCAGAGAAACCCCCAACCCCGTACATGGAAATCAGGACATTGCTTCCCTAAAATGACACAGTTCAAAGCCTGGACGACGGCATCTTTATTTCACAATCTTTCCAGCCTTTACTTGTCCCTGTAAATGGCAACACGAACCAGAAGCTCAAGAAATGGGGGAGGGAGGATCGAAACTGCTTTCCTATCTAACTTTTTTGTTCTCCCCATCAATCTGGCCTTTGAGCAGCCCCAAAGTCCAGCCTGGCTCTTGTGGATTGCTTTCCTTTAGGGAACAAAGCAAACTGCAACATGGGGCATTTTAGAATTCTTTGGGGGCACCTGAGAGCTGTGCAGTGAGCTTTTCATATAAATAGTTGAAATCTCCCAGGCTGCCAACCTGAAATTCCAAAGGTGCGGGTAGAGTTGATCGCTTTGCCTAGTAGCCCTAGTAGCGGGGCAAAGGGCTCCTTGGGCTCTAAAGAACCAATTTGTGTTTCAAATACCTCTGGAACTTGACACCTCAACGCCACCTACTCCTGGGGAATCTGAGTAAGTCCTAGAACAGCTTTCTTAAGAAGGGCAGCAGACTCATGGCTTTGTGAAAGCTCCACCTATTCACCCTCCGGGCGGCCGGCCTGGGCAATGGGGGGCAGGGCACCCCCTTCCCTTCCTGCCCCCGGGAAAGAACATCAGCTCTTGCATTCCCTGGGTCTGCAGATCCTGACCAAGGGGGATCTAGAAACCAAATGAGGGTCACTAAAGGACAGGTGTCATCTGGAAAAACAAATACAAAGACTGTAAAGCCCAGCAGGTAAAATTTAACAAACCTTTTCGATATACCGGGACGAGGAGACAGATTGCTTTGCAAACATAAAAAAGTCACAATCGATTTTCTACGTTTTTAGGTGGACAAAGAGTATTATCAAGGTGAAAGTAGACCTCCAATTTTCTGCAGAAAAAAATCTATTGAACTGGCTGGCAGGTATCATGGCCTGCGCAAAGCCATATCCTCTGGGTTCCAGGAGAGCAGGTGTCCTGTCCTTCCAGCTAGGAGGCCCCTGCAAGGGTCCAGGGACCTTCTCCGGGCTTTCTCAGTATTTCCAGGAAACTCTCCTTCCAGGGTTCTGTCCCCGTGAAAGGTCCCGGTGACGCCCCTCCCCCCGCCAGCTCCGCCCGCGCTCAGGTTTCCAAGGCCGTAGGGGCAGGACCCTGATCAAATGTTCCCCTGTCACAGGCGGGAATGGCCTGGCCCTGTCCCCTCCTGCAGGTGAGGATCCAGCCGCCTCCGGGCCCCGGGGTGACACTGGCCCCATCCCTGGCCCGGCCTTTCCTGAGCCCCCACAGGCAGGACTGTGACCCGGGTCCCAGTGGAGCCCAACGCGGCTCAGCCAGTCATAAAAGAGAACACCTTCGTCCCCTTCGCTTTAATTTTAGTGGCTCTGAGTGCAAGTGAGAAAGGAGGTTAAGAAATGTTATTTTTGCTTTGCCAAAGAGGACCCTGCGGGTACAAGTCCCCTCGCCGGGCTACCTGAGGAGTCCGTGGGGACGCTGCCTTGGGACCCATCCTGCCGCCACCTCCCAGACACCTGCTGGTCGCGCCCACTCTAGGAGCGGGTGACAGCGAGCGGGGCACCACGAGGGGGCCCGGGGGGCGTTCCGGCTGTCCCTGAGGGGTGGTCTGGGTGACACCTCAGGGTCTCCGCATGGGCACTGTGGGTGGCCCGGGGCCCCCTCCTACCTTCACGAAGAGCTCGATCTCGGGGTCCCTGTCGTCCCCGTTGGCCATCGCCCTGTCGGTCATGTCGTCGCCCAGTCCCCGTCCCCGCGGGTGTTTAGTGTCGTGTTTTAAACCATCCACTCCTGGACCCTCGGGAGGGTCCACGCGGGGGCAGCGCGGGGTAAAGACGGTGACGGTGACAAGTCCTGAGCAACAAGTGCAGCCGCGGCGGAGTCACCGGATCCCAGACTGTCAGCGATCCCGCAGCCAGCCCAAAATAGCCCCGGCCGGGGGCGGGGTCAGAGGGGACCAGCTCGCCACTGCCACTGCCGGCAGGGACCAACCGCCACCTAGGCCTGGAGGGAGTGCTGAGAGGAGGAGGGCAGGCAGGAGGGATGGCTTTTCAGTTTTAAATGACACCCCCCCCACACACACACCCAGTTCGGGGATAAACCCAGGGCTTTGACACTGAGCTACATCCTCAGGCTTTTATTTATTTATTTATTTTTAATTTTTGAGGCAGGGTCTTAGTTGCTAAGTTGCCCACAGACTGGGCTTGAACATGCACATGATCATCCTGCCTCAGCCTCCCAAGAGAGGGAGGAAGTTTCGTGCTACTGGCTCCCACCTTGGATAGCTCTTTGTGTCTCATTTAGCCTGGGCAGGGAGTGGCAGTGAGAGCCAAGGAGGCTGGAAAGGGCCAGCCACACAGGACTGGCACAGGAGACCTGGCACATGGGGGCTTTGTAATCCTCTGCTGAGCAAAGAGGGGGTAGGGCTGGGTGGTGGGAGGACAGAGGGGTGAGCCATGGGTCAGTGTCCCTCAGCAGTGGAGCAAGGGATCTTTCAATCACTGTCTTTCCCTCTCTCTCTCTCTCTCTCTCTCATTTTTTGTCATTCTTTCCTTTCTGATCTCTTTGTTTCTTCAGGGACATGTGAAACACATGCAAAACACACACAGGCACACACATGCACACGCGCGCACACACACACACACACACACACACACCACAGGTTCACACTTCAGAGAGTTTCCCGACCTGGTCCCACCATGCAGTGAGCAGCAGATGAAGAAATGCCCCGCTAGCTGCACCCCAGAGTTCCCCCCCAAGGATAAGCAGCATCCCCACTGGCATCGGTGCCCACTCCTCTGCCTGTGTCTTGTGCTGTGTCTGCTGCTCCTGCCACCGCACTGGTGAGAGTCAGCCTTCTGCTGGTGGCCTGGGTGATGTGCTGTGTGTCATCTGTTTTCCCTGTGACCAGTCACCTATCTGTTCTGCCAAGGGACACGGCATGGCGTCCAGTTACGAGCCCTGTGGATATTTGTGTGATGAACGTTCTCTCTGCCAATATCCTTCCTTGGTTGGATTCATGACCCTTTTCTCTTGGAAATACACCTGGGATGGGATTGCTGGATCCCAGAGGGTGAGGGTGTTTGAGACAGAGTCTTGTTATGTAGTTCAGGTTGGCCTTGAACTCACTGTGTAGCCCAGGCTGCCTCAAACTCATGGCGATCCTCCTGCCTCAGGATCCCAAGTGCTGGGACTACAGGTGTGCCTCACCATGCCTGGACAGAGGTTGTTCTTGACACACAGCACGGCGTGGGTTTCTAAAGTGGTGATGCCAGTACACATTCCCAGCCTTGGTATCTCTTAAAAATAGTGGCTCACTTTTTGCCATCAGAATCTGGTCACCTTCTCTGTTGTCTTTGCCTTCTCTTCAGTTAACTCTGCTTGTGCCTTGCTTTGCATTATTAATAAGTACATATCTGTTCTACAGTTTTATAAAAAAAAATATTGCTTAAAAAAATGTAATAGCACTTAGGATGTGTCAGACAGACGTGCTAAGCATCTTACATGTCTCAACTTGTTTAATCTTTCAAGTAGTGTTAGTCACCTGATTTTACAAGAGGGGAAACTGAGGCATGGAATACTGAAGTGACTTGCCCCTCGTCATTCAGCTAGGAAATGGTAGTTAGGATTCAGTCATAGACAGGCTGCTGAGCCTACAGGCTCAACCACCCCACCATGTGTCTCTCCCAGACTTGGTGCATCTCACAAGTCACTTCCAGGACAGAGGCTGTCCTGGTCTCATGGAGCATACAGTCCACATCAGGCTGACATCACATGACAGGAAGACCAGGGGTGCCATGGGGATTGGGCAGATTGAGGTGCTAGAGTTTGGATCTGAAATGTCACCAGGGCACATGCGTTAAAGGCTTGGTGACCAGCCCACAGCACTATTAGAGGCATTGGCAACTGTGAAAGGGGGTCTTAGTGGGGGGAAGTTGGTCACTGGTGCTCACCCTCTGAGAGGACTAGGGACGCTGCCCGTCCTCTGTCTTTTTGAAGGCCACATGGAAAATGGGGTTCCTCCACCACAGCTCCCCCCGTGACGGCCTGTGCCACCACAGGCCAAAGCAATGGGGCCAATTGGTCATGGATGGAAACTTCCAATATCAAGAGCCAAAACAAACTTTTCCTCTTTTCATGTTGTCTTGTCTCAGATTTTTTGTCACACTGATGGCATGCCAGCTAACACAGACAGACCATGTAGAGATACTGTTCATCACAGTGAGATGGGGAAAGATAAAGGTTCCCAAATGGTCCCATGTCTAATTAGCAAAGGAGGCAAACCATCCTGAGCACCATGCATGCAGCCTGTTTCTCCACAGCTTCCACATGCAAATGGTCCCTGCTCACCGAAGAAAGTATCTCCAAGCCCACTTGCAACCTCCGGTGCACTATAGCTCAATCAAGGTGAAGTGTAATTGTTCCCTCCCTCCTTGGTTTCAGGCTTACATCACCAAAGCCCTTAGATAAACAGTCACCTCCACAGCCAGCATTCCAGGCCAATGATGACATGCTCCAGAGAAGGACCAAGATGACAGAGGGAGACGGTGCCCCCTGCGTGAAGGACAGGCTCATCCCTTCCCTGAGCTGGCCTGTGGACAGCATTTTTAATAGTGTAGTAGGAGCAAATGAAATGATAGGCACAAAAGACCATTGAGAGGTATTTAAAGTGAAAACTGCCTTAGAGGAATTTTAGGTCATTTCCTTGGCTATGGTCTAAGCAAGGTGTGGTATGACCTCCCTTTCCTTAACTTCAGAATTGGCAGAGCTCACTTTCACTAGTATATCCTCTCCACAGATCTACTACTTCTTGGAAAATAGAAAAATCCCCTTCCAATCACAATTTCTTGAAAATATCTTCATTTGGACATCCCTATGGAACTGATACTTTTGATATTGTAAACCTTCTTACTGCAAAAAAGAAAGAAGGAAAGAGAAGAAAGGAAGAGAGGGAGGAAGGAAGGGAGGAAGGGAGGGAAAGGAGGGAGGGAGGAAAGAAAAAAATATATTTTGCCCACCAACAATTTTTGCATGTATTTCTAGTTTTAATTTCATATTATGCCTTGGTTCAGGATAAAAAGACTTAATTTTGCACTATTTACTGTCAATGCATAAATGATTAAAGTCAATCCTAGCTTTGTCTGTAATTATAATTTTAGTCTGTAGGTCTACAAACTTGGTGCCAGTTCAGATAAGTCTTTACCAAGAAAGCACTGCAAAAACATGTTTGCTGCTTACTTGTACAGCAGGTATGCTAAAATTGGCACTGTACAGAGAAGGTCAGCATTGGCTCAACGAAAGGATGCCATGTGAATTTCATAAGAGCCATAGTTTTATATGATTGTTGAAACCAAGAATTATATCTGACATGGGTTTTAATATATTTAGGTTCCATAATATGACAACTGTAACATAAAGAGCAAAGTATAAAGCGATGTGAGTCGTTAGAATTTTCTTCACTGGAAATAGTAAACTGTTAACTATAAGTGTACTGAGAACTTAGATACACCTATTGTAATCCCCCCAAATAACTATGTAAGTTAAACAAAGAGATATAGTAAAAACAAAACTAATAGGGAAGTTAAAGTAGCATGATGAGAAATATTCAGACAATCTAGAAGCCAGGAAAGTGAGAGCAAGAGAAACTGCAAATTGAAAGTAAAACAGGAACCAAACTCAGTAGTACACACCTGTAGTCCTAGCACTTTGAAGGCTGTGGTGGGAATGTCATAGGTTCAAGGCCAGCCTGGGAAACATAACAAGACATTGTTTATAATAAAATAAAAAATGAAATACCTAAATCCAACCTTATAATACTTAACCCTAAATATAAATGATCTAAATGCATCAATTAAAATCTGGAGATTGTTGGATTGGATAGAACAACAACTACACAAGACCTAACTATATGCTGTTACAAAACTCAGTTCAAACACAAGGATATCAATAAGTGAAAAATAAATGGATTGGAAAAGTAACACTGCCATGCAAACATGAATCAAAAGAAAGCTAGTGGCCATGTTAATATCAGCTGAAATACACTTCAGAACAAGGAAATTATCAAGTATAAAAAGTGATACTTCCACTCACCAAAAAATAATACAACAACTTTAAATGTGTAGGCATCTAATCAGCTTCAGTATAAAGCAAAAGCTGATAGAACTGAAAAGAGAAAGAGACGGGGCTGGGGATTTAGCTCAGTGGTTCTGATGCCTGCCTTGCAAGCACAAGGTCCTGAGGTTGATCCCCGGTACCGGAATAAAAAAAGAAAGAAAGGAGAAAGAGACAAATACACAGTTATAGTTGGAGATTTTGTGTCTTCTCTAGTAGTATTTGATAGCCCAAGCAGACAAAAACATCAACAAATGCAGAGAAGACCTAAACAACACCATCAATCAACTTTACATAATTAACATTTATGGAATAGTCCACCAAATCAGCAGTAGAATATATGGTATTTTAGGTATACATGGAAAATTCACCAAAATAGACCATACTGTGGATCACAAAACAAACTTTTAAATTTAAAGTAAAATCACACAAAGTATTTTCTGACTATAGTGGAATCAATTAGATCAATTTAGAAATTAAGCAACATTCTTTAAGAGATTCATTGATCAATATGGAAGCCTCAAGTATTGTCTTAGTCACGTTCTTTCTCACAGGAACAAAATACCTGACACCCACAAATTATATGAGGAGAGGTTTATTTTGGCTCAAGTTTCAGAAGTTCCAGTCCATCAGCAGGCTTAGATACAGAAATAGCATGGCAGAAGGTTCTGGGCAGAGGAAAGCTGCTCACAGTATGGTGGACAGGAAGCAGAAAGAGCAGCAAGGGAGGAGCTGTGGTGGGGAGACATACCCTCCCAAGCCAGGCCTCTAAACAGGCCCCACCTCCTAACAGCAAGTCAGCTGGGAAGCTCCATAATCCCATCACCTTCCAAAAGCCCCACCTATGAGCCCATGAGGCTCTTGGGTTACATCTAGATATAAACCATAACAAGTATAATTTGAAAATATTTTAATTTTGAGAATATAGGGTCTCAAAAAAATTTCACCTTAAGAAACTACAAAAAGGAAACCCGTCTCTACATATGGCAAGAAAAAGAAATAAAATAATAAATACAAGAACAGAAATTAATAAAATCAAAAAATTAAAGCAATGGAGGAAAGCAATCAAATCAGAAGTTGTTTTTCATAAAAGATCAATAAAACAGATAGACATCTAGAGATTTTACCAAAGTAGAGGAGATATACGTTACCAATTTCAGGTATGAAAGATGAGCTATTAACTACAAACTTCACAAACCTAAAAAGATATTAAGGAAATACTAGAAAAAATTCTCTGAACATAAATTAGACCACATCACTCAAATAGTCAAAATCTTGAAAGACACAAACTAACAAAACTCACCCAAGAAGAAGTAGATAGCATGAATAGTCTTATATCTATTAAAGATATTAAATTCATAGTTAAAAACCTTCAAACAAACAAACAAAAACCTCCAGGCTCTAGCTATATTCATTAATGAATTCTACCAAAGATTTAAGGAAGAATAATAATTCTATATAATCTCTTTAAGACAGGAGAAAAGAAAGAAACAAAGGACTTGTATTCAGGATTTGGAAAGAATTTTCACAATTCAAAGATTTATTTAAAAAATCCAACTTAAAAAAATGGGCAAAAGATCAGAACAGACATTTTACCAAAAAACTCACTGGTAATCAGCACTTGAAAATATGCACACCATCATTCAGTAGAGATATGTAAATCAAAAGAGAGAGACTTCAATATGCCTATTAAAATCATTAAAATCTGCATGCCTAACAGTCCCACATGCTAGCAAGAATTCAGAGCAACCGCAAAACTCTCCTACATTGTTGGTAGGATTGCAAAATCATCCTGAACAACAGTTTGAATATTGTATATAAAGTCAAATGTACCCTTCCTCTAAAACTATTTACTGTGCCCTGAGCGTTCTCCTAGAGCAATGAAAGGTTATACTCTTATAAAACTGTATATGAATGTTTACAGCATTATTAGACATAATTCCCCAAACTGGAAACAAGCCAAAAGTCCTTCAATGAATAAATGAATAAACATATTGGAATACATCCATAAATGATATGCCGCTTTGCAATAGGAAGGAATGAACTGGTAAGAGGTGTAAAGCATAAAATGCACAATACTGGGTGAAAGAAGCCTGCTCAAATGCTACATCCTGTATAACTTCATATCCATGACATTCATCAGAAGGAAAAAAAAAAAGAAAATTCAAGGTGGAGAGAGGACAGCAGCTGCCAGGGCTGGGTAGGGGACGGTTTGATTGCAAAAGGTGGCAGGAAGATTTCTCAGGTGATGGAACTGCTTGTGTCCTGGTTTTGGGGTGGTTACATGCATTTTTGGATGTGTTAAAATGTTCAGAACTACATAAAAAATCATGAATTTTCTGTGTGTCAATCTTTAAGATGACCAAAATTCTTAAATAATTGCAAACACTGTAAAGCCATCACTTTATAGCTCCATATCTCTTTTCCATATTCTGTGCTTCCTGTCTCTAACATCAGGTCTCATTTTGCCATTTAATCTCTTTCCTACCATCCGTTGGCTGAATGATTTCATGCAAAGCATCTCCCAGCTCTGGATTTTTTCTCAGAAATTAAGGGAACAGGTCTAGAATGGCCTGGGCACGAATGACACTTGTGGACCCATAGTTCTTTGTTCTGAGGGGCTGGCCTGGGCGTGGTCCAAAGTCTAGCAGCATCCCTGGCCTCTACTCACTAGGTGCCAGGAGCAGCCCTAAGTTGTAACAAACAATTGTGACATTCCCAAGCATCCTCAGGGGTTAAAATCACCCGTGGATGAGGATTGCTCTAAAATATTTTTGAAATCACATCCAGTTCTGAAAGCATTTGATTACATTTGTCCCCAGTAAATTAGGAGTGATTAATAGTTTCCCCTCAGCCTCTGAAGAATATTTGCATTTTTGAAGTACTACCCATTTGGCAAAAGAGTTTGTCTTCAGCTCTTTATATCATAGGGTTACAGGGTTTGAATGTTATTTCTTTCCTCCTCGTTCTCTCCGTATTTCTCTACTTTTCTTCATTTTGGGGTTAATATTTACATGATCACACATTGCTGGAGTTATTTTGTTAAAAACTAACTGGAAGGGACTGGGGATTTAGCTCAGTGGTTCCACCACCTGCCTCCCAAGCGCAAGGTTTTGAGTTCGATCCCTGGTACCAAAAAAACCCCCTCAAAACGAACTGGATATTGTTAAGTTTAAATGAAATGAATATAATTTCAAACAATTCCTACAAGTGTGGGTTACACCAGAGAGATTACAGTAAAAATAGAGACTTTGAGCTTCTTAGACCTCCTCATATGGTTGTGTTTACTTTTAAATTTGTATGATATATTTGTTCAAAGTCAGATTGTTTTGGCAAACAAACAAAAGTTCCAAAAACCACTTTGCATACCAACAGCAGCCCTTGGGTTCAGGGCACCTCGTCTAGGACAACCCAAACTGGTCCCGCTTGCCTCCCAGAAGAGCAGCCCACCAGAAAACAGTGGGCTCTGACTAGGGCCTAGCTGGAGTATGGACTTCGCGAAAACATCTACAGATACTTCCGAAAGCTCAGTGTCATCCA